AGTACAGTAAGTGTATAGTGTGCTGTGTGAAGTGGAAGTGCATCTTTGACATTTGGCAGGAGGAATGGTGCCCTGCTGCTGCTCCTGGAAAAGTTACAGGGTGGAGCCAATGGAAAATAGCTTTTTGGGCATTTTTAAAGGAGATTTTATTTCTAAAAAGAAATTCCTAAATATCAGGGGATAACTCAAATGTTATGAAATTTGGTGGGCTAACGGTGGTAGATGTGTCCTCCAAGTGTGTAGCCATTTTCATCCCGATAGCCTAAAAATGTTGGGAAGGGGAGCCCGAGAAGCCCCTCATTGCCACCAATGGGACAAATCTTGCCACATTTCTCGACTGTGGACCGAAAACAGCTATTTGGGTGCCCGTTCATTTTTGGGAGGTGCGTGAAAATGGATCTGCGGGTCTGCCAAAATTCAGATAGCAGAAACAGATGGTGGTTCAGCTGAAAATGCATAAGCCTAGGAGATAGTGTGTAACTGGAATACATGGAGATGCTGAGGGCTCAATATCTGAAGCCTAAAGCAGAAATAATTCATAATCAAACACAAAACTTTAAGAGGAGAAATATTATCTTAGCAGGGAAAGAAAGACAATATTAGACCAAAAGTATGGAAACAAAAAAGAAGGATGGTATTGTTGGTAGTTCTACATTTAGAGCATCATTATTTCCAACATGTTAATGAGTTACCTCCATCAATTTCCTGATCTGTATTACATTATATTTTATATTTTTTTCTTCAGTTATATAGCTCTTTTTCAAATTGAAAGCATTTGTGGTAGATTAAAATATTTCCTAATCTTCACTCTAGCCTCCAACCATTGCCTGCCCTGCAATGAGGCAGATTAGCCTAACTTGCATCTTCGTCAAGAATTTAACACTATGCTTCAAATATTCCAATGTGTTTTCAATGTAATTCAGTGCTATAAGCATATTTAGTATTTCAAATATATTCAGAATAAGCCTAAACTGGAGGTGGGGAGCAAGTGAGATTTTATCTTTAGTTTCAGGATTGCATGTGCACAAATAAAGCTACCATACTAGGAATTCACCAATTCCTAGAGATACTTGATCTGACCAGAGCAATCTCATGTGCAATGTGGCCACTACTTTCATACTAAACAATTATAGTGCCTTGATTCTACCAGACATGACCACATTTTATGAAATATTGAGATTTGTGCTGTAGCAAATGGCATTTGGAATTCTCAGCCAAAGAGCTGTTATACCTCACTCACCTATATGGGCCTACTGTGTGATAATATTCTGCATGCTGTGCAGGAACCATTTTAGTTTCACCCGGTGACAAGGACCTTATTTACCACAAGGTAGTGAGCATTTTTAGACTACTGAATATACTCATGTTTAAATTGACCTTGTGTACATGTGAAGGACAGGTTTGGGGCCAAAATCGTGGATTTTGATATCACCTGTGCATCAGTCAAGGGTCATTTTGCGGAGAGGGGGAGATGCAGGCATCACTTTAGGGGATCAGCCACCACAGGCCACTGACACTGCTATTTTACCATCCAGGCATTCTAAAAGTTCTTTTGCCACTCTGCTCAAAGAAGGGGGTGATTCTTTTTAATATAAAAGTTAAGGCACAGTATTAACCCTTACAAAAAAAGGAACTATTCCCTCTGAGTAGAGTGGCATAAGGTGAGATTCTCCTAATCCATTCTAGGAGAATCTGAAAGACGAGAAGGCTATTGTTATTTTTTTTTAAATAAGAGTTAAGGAGAAGTATTTACACTGACCTGTGGAAAAGTCAGTCCAGCTTTTTGGGGTTAACACAGTAATAATTCAAAACCAATATTCAAAAATTAGGGAGGAAGAATTAAAAAACAAATGTCTTCCAATGCTGAGCTTTGCAAGGCAAAGGAACTTTGGTGAGACCTTGTAGAAACAATAGAACCCTCTGAGAGGGACTGGAAACTGATACTGAGTTCCACACACTCCTCCGTAGAAATGGATCTTTCTTGAATATGTTTGAGACTATCCATAAAAATCGGGTAGCAACTGAAATATGTTTTCAGAATGAAGGCCTTTACAATTTCTTGACTATGTTTATACCCCGCCCTTCTCACTCCATAGGGGACTAAGTGCAGCTCAATTGCTGCTAGTGTTATCGTTCTGGTGTTGTTTGCTTTGTTTCCCAAACACATTCTCAAGGATATGTTTGGGCAACAAAGGAGTATTTATACCCCACCCTTCTCACTGCATAGGGAACTAAGTGCAGCTCAATTGCTGCTAGTGTTATCGTTCTGGTGTTGTTTGCTTTGTTTCCCAAACACATTCTCAAGGATATGTTTGGGCAACAAAGGAGGGATGAAGAGAGTTCCTCTGTTCTCTTTGCAAACCAGAACATGTTCTTCTGAGACTTCTTTCATAGAACCTGGAGTAGACAGTTCTAAACTGAGATGGAGGAACTTCTCCTAATCAGTTAAACAAGTATCTAAATCAGAAAAGATAGCTATGATCACACCTGCCAAAAGGTGACACTGTAACATTTTTGAGCCAAAAAGAGAAATTTCAACTGCATTAATTTGCTAAGTGGATATTACTGAATAGTACAGTTACATGTTTTTCCCCTTCTATTTTAAACATTTAAGCATTTTCATTTTACATCCGTGTTATTTTCAGGAATGCACAACTTGAAACATCAAAGCTACAAATTAGTTTCAGAGGAACCTTTTGATGTTGCATCCATAGCATATGAGCAAGCTCAAAGCCTTTTTCGACTAAAAAGTTTTGTAAATTCAATTTAAATAACTTGTAAAAGCAACCTTTAAAAATTCACAAAGTGCATAATGTGCATTTATGCTTTCATACTCTTACTTAAGGTCACATCAGTAATTTCAACACAAAGCTAACATCCTGCAAAGTACTTGTAGCTTGACCCTTGAACTGAATGGACCAAAATCTTTGCTTGGCAAAAGGACGCTAAAGACTTTCAGACACACCACTCCCCCACTGGGCTTTGTGATTCCATCTAATCCTCAAAGAACTCTCTCTCGAAATCACAGGAAGAGTTCTTCAGAAGCTTATGACTGCGTTGCTCTTCTAATCTTGCAAGGGTTTCTGGTTTTCTGAATTCTTTTAATTTTGATTATCTACAACTGCTAAATGTTTAGGCACCTTTTTACATACCTTTATTGCTAATACAAAAATCTCCTCCAACTCTAAAGTTTAAAAAATAATAATTTTCACAGTTGTGCTGTATCTTAATGTGTAATGGTACTAATGACCTTTCTTTTTCCATGAATGTTAACGAATTCAAAAATGCTTCATCACTTTCTGAGTAATCTACATTTCATGAAGCTTTCCTTTTCAAGTATAAAGGTTACAGAACCTGAGCACATACCTAATATATTTCACAGGCATTTTGCTGGTACACAATATTTGGTTTCTAATAAAGAAGCAGGTAGAATTGCTGTTCAGCATGCTATGTATGATCATGTCAGAATACACCCTTACGTTTTATGCTGAGAAGTCACAACTTTTGTTCAGAGAATAATTCAACTTTATAGTTAACCATGCTTAAAATTTCAGTTTTGCACTCCTTAGGAGCATGTACATTCATTCATGCTGATATCAGTATGGGTTTTTTATCTTGTACCGCTAAACATTGTGCTCCTTCTTTTAAAAGAGGCCACCCACTAGGAAACAGATGTAGGTAATATTTATTTGTTTATATCCTGCTTTCATCCAGTCCTGGGCAGAAGGCGGCTTACAAGAGCTAAAATATATACAACTGAAAAAAAATTACAGCATACAGAATTTAAAACACACTTAACCCGCCATAAAGGCATAAATATTAAAAAGAATTACAACAAATATAAAACACCATAATACATGAAAAGCTCTTTCCTCCTGAACCGTTGTCCTCAAAGACCTACAAAGAAAAATATTTTCACCTGGCTAAGGATAACAAGGAGGTCGCCAATCTAACCTCTTTAGAAACACAGTCCCAGAGCCTGGGAGCAGCTACCAAGGTGGACCTCTCCTGTGTTTCCACCCAATGCACCTTTGAGTGTGGTGGAACAGAGACAATATAAGACATGAGCAGGCTCATATAGAGGAGTATTTCTCAAACCTGCTCCTCCGGGTGTTTTGAACTTCAGCTCCCAGAAATCCCAGCCATCTTACCAGCTGCTAAGAATTGTGGGAGCCGAAGTCCAAAACATCTGGAGGAGCACAGTTTGTAAAACTCTGGTATACAGAGATACAATTCTTCAGATAACTCAGAACTGAGCCTTATAGGCTATTTGGATCAGCAGTTTGAATTGTGCCCAGAAACACACTGGCAGGTAGTGGCACTGTTTCAACAAGGAAGTTGCAGATAAATATTAGCTGCTGTGAAGAACAAAATAAAACAAAAGATCTAACTAAATAACTTTATCAGTATATCATCCACACACTTCTGGAACTGTAGGCAGATTTCAAAAATCCTTATTTATGTCTACAAAAAGAAAAGTTCCACATCTATACATTATTGGATATCAAACCTATTCTTACAAAATCTTACTCTCACTGTTTCCAATGCATCTGCTTAAACCGAGAGATGCCTGATAAAGGTAACACAACATAAACCATGCAACCCAGGAAAGCATAGAGAGAACACAATGATCTAGGTCTTGCGGCAACTGCACAATATTTAAAATTACCTAATCAGATCAAACAACATGAACAGGATGCTTATCCACCAACATACACTGTGCATTTGTATACGACAAAGAGAATGTCTTTATTTCAATAAATGACCAAGAACAAATCATTATGAACATATTTTTCTTATCCTTTTCATTACAGAGGTCCTTTTGTTCAGTTCTCTCCTCTCAAAAGACAGACACACAGAGAAATGAAAATTCATTACCTGATTTTGACAGCTTTTATTGACAACTAAGTGACTCGGAGCCAGTTTAGGCACAAGGATGAATCTACCTATAACCATTTGATGTATTCTTGGAAATTCCCTCACTTTAGAGTTATACCCACCTGACGCAAAGTGCGTGCTACCAGACTTTCTAGTACAGGTCCTCTGTCTTCATGTAGCAGGTGCACTTCATCAAGAATAAGGAGCTTAACAAGCTGGGAAAGAGCTACATCACCAACACTCTTTCTAGTCACAACGTCCCATTTTTCTGGAGTAGTCACAAGCATCTGTCAAGGAAAAAGAGAAAAGAAGTCGTATTGTCAATTCAAGGCATGTATTTATTTTTCCTTTGCTTAAAAAAATGCTGAGATGTTAAAAACTACTCTTTAAGTCAATGAAGTTCAGTCCATACATCAAGAAATCACTCAGCTGATGAGACTAGATCCATTTCAGTGGAGGACAGAATTAGCTTACCGGGGGCCAAAGGAGACTTGATATAGAGAGAACTATGTAGGTTTGTAGTGTGCCTCTCTGACAAATAGCAGCTATGGATTAGATTCCCTCCATCCCCAGGATAATAAGGAGAATCAAGCACTATTTCCCCACCCCAAGCAGCAGGTTTTTGATCAAAACTCTCAAACAGTCATATCTAGCTATACCCTTAATGTTTTTTAAATTAATCAAATCCTGATAACTTTGTGCACCTGGAATAGTTTTGCTTTAGATAAGCTGAGCCCAAATTTATACCAAGTGTACAGTCTGAATAACATTTGAAATGTTTTTTAACAATTATAATAGTTACATAAAACTTTAAATGAAGTCATTTTTAGATTTTGATGCCATTCAAAATCTGGGGTTCAAAGTTGAATCTTATTAGGCTTTAATGTAAATTCAGCCAAGATATGGAATATATCCCTCCTGTGCATCACACACTGACTTCTTTCACAATATTGGAAATCACAAAAAACAAAAAAACAGACAAGGAAGTGCTGCACCTCCATATCAACATCAGCCAGAAGATGAATTCCCAGGACCGGGACAAAATAGACAACCCCACTTACAGGAAAATGGAGAAAAACATGGCTGTCCACACCAACAGACAAAAACAAAAATTCCACAAACGCCAAACGCAACAACCGAAACCAGAACTGGATACATCGCGGACCATCATGAACCTGACAAACAGACAACTCTCTGAAGACCAAGTATCCATATTAGCGAAGGAGAGAATGCCTCTAGAACATGGCCATATAGCCCGAAAAAACCTACAAAAAACCATACCCCACCTCAAAACATCCCAAGAGTAAGGATAGCAAAACCTCATTAGTAATCAGTCTAGTATTATGAAGTATTCATTGAATCCTGGCCCATGGTTGAATTGAGTTTATGTGCATAGTGGTCAGACTCACTAACTTCTTTAAGTGCTAACATTTATGCCTTAATATTGGAGAGTTTAATCATACCCTGCAGGAGTCCAGAGTAACCTCTTAGGTGTTTATTGCCTGGCACTTCCTACGGAGATTTAAGGGAAGTTATTTGTTGTGTATTTGCATCCCTATAGTACAAGTGATAAATCATTGCTCTGAAAGCAATAAATCTCATGTTCCAAGGACATGCAGAAACATTGCCTTCCTCTTTCAGTAAATGGAAAAGGCAACTAATATCCATTAAAACAAATCTTACTGGATAACGTCAAAGGCACCATCTATACTGCCATATAATGCAGTTTGAAACAGCATTATATGGCAGTGTAGATGGGGCCAGATTCAAGACATACCTTGTAAACAAAATGATACCGACAATTGTAATCAAACCAGCATATTACAGAAGATAAGGTTTGTGTGTTAAAAACTCCAATGAACACTTGGATAATCTGTTTTTCTCCCAATACCATTAATAGTTGATTTGGTGTATCTAAACATGAATTTATACTACAGAAGTTATATTTATTCACTGTGGTCATTAGAAACCCACAATACATTTTACATTTATTAAACCTATCTGAATGAGTACAAACCAAAATGAAAACATTTTATAAAATTGAGAATCTCTTGGCCAAGAGTTTAGTCGCATCAGCTTAATCTTACAAAATGCCACAGATGCTGCAACACATTTTTATGGCAAACTTGTGCAAAAATATTTTGCTTTGGTTCACTCCTGCATCTCTCTTTAGACAAAACGGCACTAGCAGTTATTGTTAGCTCTAGATCTCCTAACTCCCTCTGTGATATGCCATTGAGGGTCTGTCTAGACAGGAACTTTATCCCAGGAGCTCTTGGTTCAAAATGGAGGGTGTCCAAATGACGCCTCCATTAAAGGAGAATTGGTTCGAGACAAAGCAGGAAAACCCTGCTTTACCCTGAATTAATTAGATAGCCAATTAGATCCATGTCTTCGTGAAAGGCCTGGGTCTAATAGGGTATGGCCCTGTGTGGACAGGCCCACAAGGAGTCCTGGGATTTCTCTGCAGCCTATCCATACACTCATCTTGCACCTTCTGGGTTCCTGGAGCCCAGAAGGTGCAATATTGCCCCCCTTCTTCCCTTCCCCCAAGCCCCAAGAAGAAAAAATAACTTACCAGTCACCATTACGCCTTGCAGCATACTTCCTGGGATGTACCAATTATGCCGTGAAAGCAAGGGCGGTGGAAAATAGCTTCTGCCTCCCTCTTGTTTTCTCGGTACATTCCCAGAAGTATGCTGCAAGTATGCATTCCTGGAAGTATGCAGCTGGTAAGTTATTTTTACCTTTTAGGGCTTTTGGGGTGTGTGTGTGTGTGTGGGGGGGGGGGGGGGGGGGGGGTGTTTTTTGTCCCAGTGCCTGCTGGAAAGCCTGGCAGGGCATGTGGACACCTCCCTCCCAGAAAAGCATGCATTTTCTGGGGTATGTGTGGACTAGAACCCGGGCGCAATTGCTTTTATAAAGCATTGTTGCTCCCAGGTTGTTGTTTTTTTGTCGTGTTAGGAGCGACTTGAGAAACTGCAAGTCGCTTCTGGTGTGAGATAATTGGCCGTCTGCAAGGACGTTCCCCAGGGGATGCCTGGATGATTTGATGTTTTTATCATCCTTGTGGGAGGCTTCTCTCATGTTCCCGCATGAGGAGCTGAAGCTGAAAGAGGGAGCTCATCCGCCTCTCCCTGGATTCGAACCTGCGACCTGTCAGTCTTCAGTCCTGCCAGCACAGGGGTTTACCCCACTGCGCCACCGGGGCTCCTGCTCCCAGATTAAAGGGCTATGTGGAACCGCCCAGAGATTTTGCTGCATTTGTGCCTGAGACTGGGGTCGGCTTCCAGAAATAATTGAAAGGAACTTTAATTCATCTACTAGCAGCTTCTAAGAAAAGTTGTGGAACTGAAAATGTTCTAGCATTTCTCCTTAAATCCCATTTGAGAGTAAAGAGCGACATAAAAACAAACCAAAAACCCAAAAACAAAACCCCACCCAATAATTGCCCTCTACCTGCCCCCAATAGAATAGGAAGCGGTCTTAAAGTAACTTAGCTCATTGGTTCATGTAGCTCAGTACTGTCTATAGTGAGTGGCAGATTTTCTCTAGGTTTACAGGAAGGAGTTTCAGAAATGCCAAAGATTCTACATTATGGTTGTGATTCCTTGTCCCACTCCAAAATGTTGTAGTATGAAGAGCAGTTTGTCTCATGTTCTCAACAAAATAAGCTTAAGATTTTTAGCCTATTGCCCACTAAAAGAAGACTACTTAGCCACCCAATAATGTAACAATAGATCGAAGGTCGAAATACATTGCCCAGCACTTTGCATCAAAGATCCTAACATTGGACATGAGAGGGGGCGGGATATGCATTAGTTATCTTCTGCCTTTACCATGTACTTCTTCAATATGGAAAAAGCTGGGAATGTTAGTTATTTAAAAATGGGAAAGGCAGCTCACACTGTCACCCCAATAGACTGTGCCCAGACTTAGTTTAACCAGGCTCTAACTTTCAACTTTGCTTGGACACCAACTGTGGTTTTTAATGAACCCACTGATGTTCTAAGTGGTGCATGTACATCCTGAATTTATAAACTGTCATCACACCATTACAGAGGCAACTTATTAGCACTTTGAAATGAGCCATGTCAACCACAAAAATTAGCAGCTGTAATTTTCATAGAACATTAATTAGCAAACTGTGATGAAATATATTTAGCAATGCATATTAAGAATGTAAAGGTGTGAAATGCTACAAATGCAAGCTACTTAGCTAATTTGCCAAAGCTAAACTGGTACCGCTGCAATCACATATCCTCCCTGTGCCACAGTCATGCTGTCACAATTTAAAAGAACAAACAGATGCATGTTCCTCCCCTCCTGCTTCAGTTTTTAAAGTGTTTAGACACATTCTGTATTAAATATAGTACTCTTTAATGAAAATCTAAATAATGCCAAAAATTAAATGCAGAATTCTATACACTGTTACACTGAAAACAATGTGAACACAGGTGCTACGCAATCTCCAGCCTTAGATTTCAAAAGGGCTCTGAAAGTGCCACAGCTGGTAGAGCTAAGCTCAAAGCCAGAATATTCTAAAAATATTACTAAACAATAACATGTTAAAAAAGTCTGATTAACAATAGTGGTTTGGGGATGAAACATGGGATAACCACTGGATAGAGCTGCTTGAGAATCTTGATATGTCCAAGAGCAGTCATAGAGCCTGACAGTTGTTGAGATGCCTGGATAATGATCCTTTGATCAACTGTGAACATGCAAACATAACATCAGACCAGAGAGCACACCAGCTAATTCAGCATGGGGAAACCAGCTGCAGCAGAGTAAAGGTGAAAATCAACCGGTCGCTAGAACCTGAAACTCATCAGTTGTCATCTCCCCTAAACTTGAAAGAACTCAGAGAAGCTATTAAGCGATGCAAAACTGGTAAAGCACCTTGCCTAGATGACCTAACGATGAAGCAAATCAAACACTTGGGCCCCAAAGCTGAAAACTGGCTTTTGAATTTTTACAATCAATGCTTGGCACCCAAACAGATTCCCAGGCAATGGAGGAAAACTAAGAGTATTGCCATTTTAAAACCTGGTAAAGTTGCCTCCAATGCCAGGAACACCAACCACTCTCTCTCTTATGTCATCTGCATAAGGTAAAGGTTTCCCTCTGACATTGTTCAGTTGTGACCAACTCTGGGGGTTGGTTCTCAACTCTATTTCTAAACCGAAGAGCCGGTGTTGTCCATAGACACCTTCAAGGTCATGTGGCCAGCCTAACTATATGGAGCGACATTACCATCCTGCCAGAGTGGTACCTATTGATCTAT